GTGGTTAAGATGCCACAGAAGAATGCCACCCCCTGTCCTATGTACAATCTTAATACAGAATCCTTGTTCATGATCTAGCATGCAAACATAGAGTGAAGGTCTGTGACTATTTTCGTAATCACACACTTTCTGTCTTTTTCAGAGCTTGGACTGGACTCTGGTACAGCACTTACCACAGTTGTGCAGAAGTGCATGAAAACATGGGGTTTTTTTACATTTGTGATGGAAACTGGAGGCAGAAAACACAGGACTATCTGTTCCTGCCTCTACTATAGAACTCCTATGTATCAACCTAATTACTCCAATCAAAGTGCTCCTAATTTTTTAATGTCAAATGTTTGCATAGGTAGTTCTAGGTAGCTGAAACACTGAGGACTTCCAAGCTGCAGCTGAAGTTTGCTGTATGTGTCTACACATATATCCTCAGAAATGGTGCTGGTATTGATATCCAAGCTGGCTCATTTTCTATTAATTCTGATAAACCTGCAGTTCTGTGTACATTTATATACAAATAACGCAGAAATGTGTATACACATGTACATTGAATCATAGAATTGCCTGGGTAGGAAGGGACCTTATAGGTAATCTTGTTCCAACCCCCCTGCCATGGGCAGAGACACTTTTCACTAGACCAGGTTACTCAGAGCCCCATCCAACCTGGCCTTGAACACTTCCAGGGATGGGACATCCACAACTTCTCTGGACAACCTGTTCCAGTGTCTCACCACCCTCACAGCAAAGAATTTTTTCTAATACCTCCTGAAAGCCTACTCTGTCCGTTTGAATCTATTCCCTCTTGTTCTGTCACTACATGCTCTTGTAGTAAGTCCCTCTCCATCATTCCTGCAGGCTCCCTTCAGGTGCTGAACGGCCACAATTAGATCACCCTGAAACCTCTTGTCTAGGCTGAACAATCCAAATTTTCTCAATATTTCCTTGTAGGAGATGTGTTCTATCCCTCTAATTATCTTGGTGGCCTCCTCTGAACTTGCTCCAACAGATTTCTGTCAACTGAGAAAGCCCTACTGAGCGGGAAGAATACAAGCTTATCAGAAAATTGATTAAATGCGTTTGCTTAGGACTGCCAAGTAAGATGCCCATAAAATGACCATGGAGAAGTAGTTTTATTCAGTACTCTTAAAGTGAAACAAACAGTAGTTTAGACAAGGCATTGCAACCACTGATCTATTACACAGCAAACATGGCAAGTCCTGAATTTACTATAAAAGTATCCACCACCGGGAGAAGCAGAAAGAAAAAAATATGACTCCTCCCCACAGTGTGAACAAGGTTAAGAAGCATTTGTGCAAATGGATATATATATATATCTGGTGTGGAGCCAACTGGGGAGAGAAAAAAATTGCTATAGATAGAATCCCAGAAGGTGCAACAGAAGTTGCAGTAGGCTGTTGGAGGCTGAACTATGTCAAGAATGAGGTTAGCAATTAGCAATATTTAAGTGGAGCCTGCTCACAGGTAGCAGACTCCACAGATTTCTAAACATGGAAGCAGTTGCTGGTGTTCTTTCTACTACTTGGGACAGCAAGTATAAACATTTTTGATTTACTAAGAGAATGACACTTCAACACACATTTAAGGGTCCTGGCCACTTGACTGCAGCAGGCTTTAAATTCCATAGATGTAGAAGTATCTTTTCCTGTCATTAAAGCTCTCACCTCTGAAGGAACATTACCAGAGGAACTGATCTTGATCAAATATGTATTTTATACATGGCATATTCCAATTTTTTAAACCCAAAACTAAATTTACTTTTCCAATAAAATACTACTGTATTTATTTTGGTACAGGCACACAACATCATCATGTTCTCTATTCAGACAGTTCATACCTCTATCCTTCGTTTTCCATGTACAGAAATACAGAGACAAGCTTTTGGCCAATCTGGCTATAGCAACAGCTATTGCTCTAATAGTTACTTTGCATTATCTGTAACTCCCTCTGTAAATCAGCTGGGCCTGCTCAGCAAAAGAAACACAACTGTACTTAACAATGATGTGTTTCTGAGGCTGTAATATCTTAACTGCTCTTAAACCACTAATGTTTTGAATATTTAACACATATTTTACAAATAAATGGGAAAGTTGGGTACAAACAAATATACACCATCCAGGATTAGTGAAAGAAAAGATCATTATAGAGGTAGAGGTGTAAAACTGTGAAGCTTACAGCAGGAAAAACCAGCCATACCCCCAAACCTCAGACTTATTTGCCCCTAATAATGGTTAACAGTTTTCAGCAATGTATAATTAGGGATGAATAAAATAACTTTGGCACTGGAAACCACATTTCTCAAAGCAGCAGTTTTTGTTAATTGAATAGTTATTTTTCTTGCTGCTTCTTGAGCTAAGGCATCCAGTGGTTTACTGTAAAATAAGCCTGTATACAAATGCCTTCAATTAGTGACTATTTTAAGGAGACTCTATGTTCTGCAGAAGAGCAAATGAATCTTTTCCCTTTTGAGATAATTGCATATTCAGGCCTCTGTGAATTATGGAAAGTGATGACAATTTGGAGGTGACAACTCTTTGTGAGGTGTACAATTACATGAGGTACAAGGAGAGATCACCAAGAAGCTTAAAGGAGCCTCTTTTATAATGTATTCTTACAAACCTTCAGACAACACTTAAAAATGTGTGAAGTCATAACACATTAAACATAACAAGAGTCAGACACAGGCTATCATAAAGGTTTTTGGAAAGACTATAACCTAACTTATCGAATAACAAACATGCCAAAAAATGCGAAGTACTTGTTTTAATAATAAAATACTACTTAAAAGCAGACCTTTAGGCATGTGATCTGACTGCCACCCATCTTCTTGGGAAGAATATTCTTCTTAAGATCTAAAACCTGACTGTCAGGTTGCCTGCTATTTCATCAGTGTAAGCTTCTCAGTCTCCACAATTTAGGCTGCTAGCAATAATTTCCATAATGTTTGCAGGAGTTAAAATAGTTTATGTGTGCAAAGCACTGAATTAGATCTCAAAAAACCTGGATTTTGATCTTGTTTCTGTAGGTCACCCAGACCTACCCTATTCCTCATTTTCTTCATCTGTAAAATGGGGATAATTATATTCACTAGCTTTTAAAAAACATTTCCAGATATACACGGTTAAGGATTAAGCAGTGTGGATTACCCCTGATGAGTAACACACAGCTGCCAATACACTGACTTATTCACTTTCGTATTAGCATCTTTATTTAAACATTCGCAAAACACTCATTTTGTCAAACAGCAACTGAAAAGAAGCTTTTATCCAGCACAAGTGTAATTAGAATAGTAGAGAAGTGATGAGACTTTGAGCTCAAGGCCCTATCTGGTATTTCAATTTCAAGTAACTGCAGTGGCAAAAAGAGTTTTCAATTCAAGTCTGCCCTCCGCTGGCTTTAGCAGAACACTGCTAATAAATTTTGGATCAATAGTGTATTTCTGTAATGAAGTGAAGGAACTAAATTAATAGAGGCAGATACATTTATTACTTGACATCTTTATTCAGCATTTATAAAAATTTTGTAATAGCAGTTAAATGATTTGTAAAATTTTTAAAAGTCCCATCTAGGCTCCCTGTCTGATGTTTTTCAGGATTTCAAAAGCCCATGAGCTTATCATCTATACTAGAGCTGCTGGGACTAAAATACAACATGGGAAGTAACATTCTGTATGTGGCTTTAAAGAAATTTAATAGAAAAACTACAGAAAAACATTTTGCTTGATACAATTAATGACTCTAATAGATAGTGCTGTATGTATTAGTCAAATGCCCTAAAAGAGACCAAGATCAGTCTAGTCTAGTACCCTGTCACTAGAAGCAGCCTGTCCCCTTAAAATATGAGAGGAAAAAAGATCATTTGTTACTGTGTTTATTTTAGAAAGAATTTTCCATCACAAATACCACACACAAATAACTCATCTCTAAACTCAGGCCGACTCATTTTCCTTTCTATTTTTAAAGTAGGAAGGTAATAGGGGTGTGGGGAACTATCTTATACACAGATTCATCTAGAATGATTTCAACCCCAAGGTGACATTTGTGTCTGAAACACAAAATCTGTATAATTATGTCTTGGATGATGTGATCGAGCTGAAAAGCCTCTGGTTCATATATCTTGTCATCTTCATGCTTCGTTACACACAACAGCATTTAATCTCTTGTGACTGCTACCTACATCTAAAATAAAGGAGTACAATATTGTTTCTTCAGATGTGTACTTAACATATACTTGAAAAAAAGGGAAAATATAAAAGTATTACAGAAATGGCATTTTATTTGTCCGTTTAAATGCTTGGAAATCAGGGTCAGATTCATAGTTTGTGCCAAATGTGCCTAACAGACTCCATAAAGCAGAACATAAAGAATTTTCTCAGGTTTCTTGAATGTCCTCTGCATCTCCTAAAGCTCTTGCTGAAATGGTTCTCATTCAAAAATGAAACCTTTAGGAGTCCATTAACATTTTACAAGAAGCAGCAAAAGGCACACAACTAATCTGCCATTATGGGTTTGGGGTGGGTTTTTTGGTTTGTTTGTTGATTTTTAATTTTTTTCTCTAGGCAGGAAGCCATGGAAAAGCTACTGAAATCTCATTAATCACTGTAGTACCTAGTGCTGCAAATCACCCTCTTAAACTGGACTCCAGCATCTAAAATGACTAAAATGCAGTTGTTCTGCAATTCTAGGAGAGTAAAGTTTGAGATTTTTAATAATCCTAACTGAAAAACAGCAGCAGTGATTGAAACACTGATAGGTATTTCCCTGAAAGGTGTCATTTGTTTTCTGTGCAGAGTGGAAAGAGTCTTAGATGAACTTACAGGCATGTCAATCAGGCTGACGATATATAAAGAAGATACACTAATGTGTCTACTTGACAATGTTTTGAAATTAGTAAAATCTAAAAGTGTTTGTCTGGCCTAAATATGGCATATAACTCCACTAAAATAGACAATGTATGGATAGAAATTGTGTATGAAAGGCAAAAGGGACGCATTTTAAGAGACTAAATTTTATTTTAGTAGAATAGTAAAAACTTCATTAACCACGAGTTGCGCTTCATTTAATCTTGATAGCACCAGATGAGACTTGGAAAGAAAGAAAAGAGCTTTCCTTGATTGCCTTCTGGTATCTAGGAGAGGCCTTAATTACTCTTCATTATGATACTGATTCTAATCTTCTATGTGCTGAAGATCTCAAAGAATTTTCAGTGAAATTGTAACTACTGAAATGCAAAAACTAAAGATAGACATAAACGTCGATACTTTTGTCCATATTGGCTGAATTTCCAAATTCTGGAATGCAGCTCTTGCTGGTGTGCCACCTTCAGCAGGAAGCTCAGGGCTTGGCCAGAGGAGGTGTGAACTTCTCCTCACCTTGTTGGTGATGGTTAGGCCCTGCTGAATTAGGAATATGACAATAGGTTTGTCCTTAAGTTACTGAAGTAAATTCACTCAAAGTGAATAATAAAGATAAATTAATACCTATGTTCAGTTTAGCTAAATAATTAGTTCAACATTTAGATTTACTACGAATTATTCCATTTGTACATATACATGACACATTCCCTTTGTTGACTGGGCAATCTTAAATAAGATCTGAAAATACATGTATTTTTACCTTTCCTTTTATGCTATGGACTCTGCAATTTGCATTACAAGTTGTTAAAAACTATTACAATGACAACACTAAAACCCTGACTGTGCTATGCTTTAAATTCTATTGAAATTAAAGCTATACTGAATTAAACTTTAATCTACATTTTTAAAAAAAATCTTAGTTTCAATAAACACCCTTCTTGTTTTGGAAGTTACAACAAGAAAGGATACTTAAGGATATATATATGGTAACTGAAATTACATATAATTTGTTTTACTGGGATTTAAGACAAAACCCAGAACAAACTGCCAAAAGAACCACACAGGCCTGTTTCAGACCTAGCTGGCATATTTAAACTCAGATGTTCTTCTTTTTGCTTTACTACATGTTTTCTCTTAGCACATAACCAGAATTAATTAGTAGCTTGCTGTATACCTTTATCTTGCAAATTCCGAGGACGCATCCAAAAGCTCTATTGTAATTCAGTGAAGCGAGTGCTGTGCATTAATCAGTTACATTTTCAAATATTTAATTGTCAGAAAAAGTTGTTTCAGCAGCATTTTCTTTTGTAGTTGGATGCTAAGAAAGACTATTACAACACTCATTGAAGCAAGAAAGCAGAATATAACTCACAGTCAGAATTATTTTTCAAATTCTGCAATTCTATGTCCTGTATCAGAGAGAAATATTTCATTTTTCTCTGCACAGAATTACGTTATCAGTTTCATGGTTGTTTCACCACAATACCATTTACTAAGGTTGGAATTGGTACAAAGGCAAGTATACAAGCAAAGACTTTGGGAAATCAGAATATATTATTTGTTTTCCTCACCTTGTTTAAATAAAAATAAAAATTTGCCTAAAATAAACGTTTTTAAAGTCCTTTAAAATCTTTATAAATATGTGCTGTTGAAACAAGATATTCTTCAGCAACAAAAATCTATTTGAGATGTGTTGACAAAGAAAAGGTTTACATTAATAAATTACATTTAGAGGAAAATCCTCCTAGAGTTACCAAAATATTTGCTGTTCAGCTGCTAAAAAAAGAGCTTAATTTAAAAACAATAAATGAGTAAATATGGGTATTAGTTTTGGCCTCAGAAAATCCTTTTATCCATCAGACTTTTGCGTATCACTGAAAATATATAAGGAATCAGATTATTGTTTTCATCCTTGGCCAAGCACTGCAATTACAAAAACATGCATTGAAGAACTGTTGTATTTTTAGAAGAACTATCTATGGTAAAAGGTAGCAGTATCTCTAAGTGCAATAACACTTAATTTTCATTATTAAGTCAAGATGGGCAGAATGGGAAAGTAAGGTTTCAAACAACACTACAGTTGTGAAGCAGGTAATATTCCATTTTTAAGCACATCAACAGTTCTTCTCAGAGGTCTCTAAAAGCATTTGATGAGGTTCTTTCAATGCTGTCTCACCTTAGAGTGCTGTTTCTCCTTCCCTGGCCTCAGAAGCTGTAATGAAAAATAATGAGATTATAACTCCATGTCACCACTCAGTTTTGGTTTAAATAAATAAATTGTACAGTTATTTATTAAACATACAAAATTACTAAACTTTGCTGTTTGTTCCTGCCACTCTGATCATTCTACTAATTTTCAATAATTTTCAGCCAGCAGCCAAGCCCCACACAGCCATCTGCTCACTATACTTCACAAATACTGGGATCAGGGAGAGAATCAGAAATGTAAAACCCAGAAAACTCATGGGTTGAGATAAAGACAGTTTATTAGGGCAAGCGAAAGCTGTGCACACAAGCAAAGCAAAACAAGGAATTAATTCACTGCTGTCCATGGGTAGGCAGGTGTTCAGCCATCCCCAGGAGAGCAGTGCCCCATCACATCCAACAGTTACTTGGGAAGACAAACACCATCACCCCAAATGTCCCCCTCTTGCTCCTTCTTCCCCTCCTTTATATGCAGAGCATGATGTCCCATGGTCTGGAATATCCCTCTGGACAGTTGGGGTCACCTGTCCTGGCTGTGTCTCCTCCCAGCCTCTTGTGCATCCCCAGCCTCACCAGCATTCCAGTACAAAGAGCAGAAAAGGCCTTGGCTCTGTGCAAGTTCTGCTCAGCAGTAACAAAAACATCTCTGTATTATCAACCCTGTGTTCAGCAAAATCCAAAACACAGCCCCATACCAGCCACTGTGAAGAAAATTAACTCTACCCCAGCTGAGACCAGCACAGTGTCTGGCAATATCATTTTTCTTGGAAATATCCCATATCGGAGTGACCAGACTACATCCAACAAGTACCATACAGAAAATCATACAAAGAAGATTCCAATTTGGACAGAAATTTTTTATATGCATTACAGCTCTACATTCCAAGCATGCTTTGAGACTATGCTAAATGCAAGAACTCAAATATACTCAACCCTGAGTAATCTAGGTCTCAATTAACATTCAGGAGACATTTTAGAATTCTGGTTATTTCACACATGACCTAATTGGACAGCTGAAGTCTTTCTCATTTTGACTGTAGTACTTTCAATTTCTCTTTGTCTCTGTCTTTTCTTGTCTTTGTGAAATGAAAAGGAACATTTCCCAGGTCAGTGGTGTTGCAGAGATGTGGGGATTTATTAGACTAAAAATAGGAAGTTTAGTCATAACAATGAAGTGAAATAGAATGCCTAACCATAACATACTACGGTTTTTACTGACATCATAAAGATTCAGCCTGCAGTGGAAATCTGTTGAAGAGCTATTCCTTATTTTCTTGTGTCATTTATACTAATTTAAGGTGTAATCCCAAAGTATGAAATATCCACCATAGTGTCCTTGAAATCTAAGTTCCTCCTAAATAGGGTCAAACTCAAACTTTGTTCCCAAGCAGATGAATTTAATGCAGCTTCTTGTCAATAAATCAGGGAAATCTCAAAAGTGAGACTGCTAAATGCATAATGGAGGCCAGTGGGGATTTCCTACGATGTTTACAGTGATTTTCACAGACTTCAATGTGTCACTGCACTTTGTCTCCTTCATCAGCCTCTGAGTTGCATGTATTGTTCCATGGCTTTGTGGTTTACTGAGATAAAGCTTTAGAGGTCTGGAATTCTTTAACCTGTGAGGTACCCCTTGCACTCAAAAAGACAAGTTAAAGCCATCTCACCAAGTGACATTATTTCCCTGAACCTGACACTTCAGAGATTCAGTCATGTCTGTAAGAATCTGAATTCCCTCATTTACCCATAAAAATGGAAATATTTGGCCATTTTACCATGAGTATTAGTGATATTTATTTGCTGTGAAAACACTTGTGGAATTACTGCTAAATGAGTTAATAAAACAGTAGGAATTCATGTTCTTGTCCCAGTCGAAACCTCTGCAATTCTGTTTCTGATTTTATTGTTATTGCTCATCACATGAAGCTACAAGGCAAAAGAAATTCAAAGAGATTTATTTTTTTTGCAACAAAAGACTTACAACATCTGTGGTACCACTAATTTTCTTTCGTCACTCCAGCAACTGGGGCTCTTGTTCTTCTTAGTTAATGGATACACCATTCCAAGTGGTTTTGTCTTCATTATCAGCCACAAGAAAAAATCAAATTAAATAAAAATCCTTCATGGAAGTGTTCCCACAATAAATTACAAACATGAATACTCATAGCACACCCATAAAATCCTACTTCTGTCTTCTCCAGGCAGAGTCACCTCCATCTTACAACTACCCATTTCTTTGGGCATTATGTTTTCACCCTTAAAAACTCAAAGCTCATTGTTTTTCATGCCAAATCACAGGCACCTTTGCTTTTAGAGGCTAATTGTCAATATTTAAATTATGTGACTATTGCTGTCCCATGAACCTGCAAGAAGGATTGCTGCTGCTCTCCTTCCCCCTTTGTCTGAGTCAGCAGATCACCAAAGGACTGAGAGCTCTTACACCCTCTAACATCCTAGGTGACACAAGAACCAAATAAAAGCATGGAAAACTTCTGGAGTCAGCACAACCATTCACTGGTTTTATTTTGTTGTGGAGGTTTTGTGGGTTTGTTGGTTGGCTAGTAAAGGTCTTTTAGTTCAAGTATGCTATGTTGGACAGTTTGAGACTATGGATGTGTGCTATGATGAAATAAGTGTCCTTCTCCAATCAAAATTCTTAATTTACAGACATCCTTTCACAGCTTCAGTATGTAGACCAGTAACTATACAGAATCAATACTGGTTTATTTGCATACCAAACACATACCTTTGTGCTCTTCTAGCACTGATTTTGCTTGTGAGAAAACTGGCAAAGTAATGCTAACTTTCTTGCTATTAATTTCATGGCTTCTGTAGTTAAATCAGTGAAATAGCCTACAAGCTTCTAGTCAAACATTCAAATTGGTGGACATGAGAAATGAGGGCTAACAAGTTTCTGGGCTCTGAAAATTATTCCTTGACTCAATGTGTGAAGGGAAGATCTGGTACATGTGGCACACTTTGGTGAGTATTCCTTCTCAAGAACACCCATAATAACATTACATGCACTGTGTCACACATGACACTGTTAATCTAAATGTCAAAGGAGACAGAGCAACTGTTCAACCCTTCATATCAGGTGATTTGTACATTCAACCTTCTGAATCCCACTTGCACCAAAATTACAGGAAGGAAAAGTACCTTTTGAATTTAATTCTACTACAGTGGGCCATATTCTATTGCAGTATTTTGTAAGAGATTATTAACAAGCTGTGCACTGTAATGAACAGTTGGTTTTGTATGTTTAGAAAGAACGTGCTGTAACAGTAACCAGTAATCTGTCTGAAAACAGATCTTACTTGGCCTCATCTACAAAGGAAAACCAATTTAATACAAACTACTGAAAAATAGGTTCCTGCAAGTCAAAAAACCTGTTTCAATTATTTGAGTTCTCTTTTGAGTATGACAAGCCATTACCAATTAATGAATGTGCCTCTTGTACTACACTGGTTCAGAAGAGTAGTAAATTTGTAATTTTGAATGTTTGTACAATTCTACTTATGCATACTAATTTGAAAAGTTTGACAAGTGATATACCAAAACTGAAATCCAACACAAACCTATAGATAGAAAGACTTGTTCTCTCAATTTTCAATTAGAATTCCCAGAATCCCCCCTCCAAAGGCATATTCTCTTGGGAAAGGTGTAGGCTCCTAGTTCTATGAACTTCATATTGATGTTCATGATGGATACAGACAGCACTGGTGCCTAACCTTTCCACAGGGATAGGCTATCCAGTTTATAAAGGAGACACTCACAAACCCTATGCCTCTACTTTACTTGTCAGATACCATTAAATGTGTGTCAGTCATATGACTGGAAACACTGGTGTATCCCACGTTTAATGTGTGTGGAAGCACAGGGCACTAGGACTGGTGTGTAACATGAAAGGCTGTGCATTCTGTAACATGACTGCACATTTATGCCATGACCTCACCAAAATAATTCTTTCGATAATTCACAGACCATGGCAAAAGCAAGCCATGGGCTGCCAGAACCCCTCATGTTGCCTCCAGTTTGCTACCTGCCTGTACCTGGACAACAAGTAGTGAGCTAAAAGCTCCTATTTTTATCATTAAATGGCAGAACAGGCATCCAAACACTGGAAGACTAAATGGTACATCTGAATAAGTAATATTTATTATAGCCCTGGATTCTTTTTTGTCTCTAAAAAGCACTGACTTGCAGTTATTCTTAATGTGACAACATGGCTACATAAGTTCAAGTAACTGCTGTAGGCAAACCAATATACAACATGCAAAACTTTACTACAGGTAGCAGATGTGGTACAGCCTGATGATGTTAACTGCTGCAGCTGCATTAGTAATAGCAGGAACCTGAAGACCTGAATCTGGCTTGGATCTGGCATTACAGCAAAAGGCAGGAGGCTCCCTGAGAAAGAATGAAAACATGGTAAAGACATGATATAACTGGTTGAGTCAACGGCATAGACACAATACAGCAAGGCGTCATGTAAGCTGTGTCAAACAAACAGCTTGGTGGTTAGGGCACAGCAAGGAGAGACCACTCATTTATTAGTTAAAAAAGAAAATGCCTCAGTGCTTATCTGGGCTCTGAGGTTTTTAAAGACAAGAAGCTCCAAGTGCTGCACTGGCAGTTTTTAGGCATCAGGTCTCTTCCCATATTTCTAGTCAAGTTTTCACTCCCTGAACTCCTTGTTTCCATGGACTGGATACATCACACAGCCTGGTATCAAAGATCACGGAATATCCCGAGTTGGAAGGGACCCACAAGGATCACTGAAGTCCAACTCAGGACTGCACAGGACACACCAAGAGCCACACCATGCTCCTGAGAATGTTGTCCAAACATTTCTTGAGCTCTGTCAGACTTGGTGCTGTGACCACTTCCCTGGGGAGCCTGTTCCAGCGCCCGGAGTGAAGAAACTTTTTCTAATATCAAGCCCAAACCTTCTTTGACACAGCCCCACGGACAGCGTCATGGAGAAGCATTTCCAGTTTCCTCCAGGAACACTTTCTCTTACCACTCCATCTCTACCCTTCACTTACCAAAGGCACTTCCTACCCTCCAGAGGCGGCGTGTGCGCAACACCTCGAGATCTCCGGGGAAGAACAAGCACAAGAGTGCGGCAGGACCCGAGGCGGGCAGGAAGACCCAGAGCGCCTGCAGCCCCCGCGCCCCCTCACAGCCGCTGATCCCGATCCCGCTGCCGTTCCCTCAGCCTGCGGCGCTGGAAGGCGGCCGGGACAAGCCCGCCGGGGTCGCGGCAGGCAGAGGACACCCGGCGGACAGAGGACACCCGGCGGACAGCCAGCACCCCGCAGCCGCCATTTCCTCGCCCGCCCGGGGGCACGGCCAGCCCCGGTCCCCGCCCCGCAGCCCAGCGATGGGTCCCGCCCAGCGCAAGGCACTGTTACGAGAGCGGCTGCGCTCCTCCTCCTTCTCCTCCTCTTCCTCCTCTCTGCCCCGCCGCCGGGATGCCGAAGCTTAGCAAGGAGGCCAAGCAGCGGCTACAGCAGCTCTTCAAGGGCGGCCAGTTCGCCATCCGCTGGGGCTTCATCCCCGTAGTGCTCTATCTCGGTCAGTGCCGGGCGGGGACGCGCGGGGGCCTTGGGCGGCCATTGCCGAGGCCGGGTCTGGGGCGGCCGGCTCCGATGGCCGCTCTCCGCCCCCCGGCCGGTGCGGGCGCTGCCGGGGAGCGGCGGGGCCGAGGGAAGGGCCCGGGGGCCCCGGGCCGCCCCGCCGCGCTGCCCCGCCGCCATCGCCGCGCATGTGCGGGCGGGAGGGCGGAGTTGCCCTTGGCAGAACTGTGAGGCCGGGAGGCTTCTTGTTACAGTTGCGTTTTTTATTTGTGTGTTTGTATCGTTTTTGTTTGGTTTTTTCCCTGTCTTTGTAAAGGAGAAGTATGCGATCCTCCCACTCTACTCGGCCCTCGCGAGGCCACATGTGGTGGAGTGCTGTGTTGTGTTCTGGGCTCCTCAGTACAGGAAAGACGAGGAGCTGCTGGAAAGGGTCCAGCACAGGCCACGAAAATGATTAAGGGACTGAAGCGTCTCGCTTATGAGACGAGATTGCCGATGCTGGGCCGGTTTAGTCCAGAGAAGTGAAGACTGGGAGGAGATCTCATTAAAGCATAAAAATACTTAAAGGAAAAGAGATTGGAGCCAGATTCTTAATGGTGCCCAGCTACAGGATGGCGAGCAAAGGCTGTGAACTATAACACAAGAAGTTTTTACCTCAGCATGAGAGAGGAATTCTTTGCGTTGAGGGTGGTAGAACACTGGAACAGGCTGCACAGGGAGGTCATGGAATCTCCCTCTCTGGAGACATTCCAAACCACCTGGACACGTTCCTGTGTTACCTGCTCTGGGTGACCCTGCCTTGGCAGGGGGTTGGACTGGGGGATCTCCGGAGGTCCCTTCCAACCCTAACAATTCTGTGATTCCGTAATAATGAGTTATTTGCTCCCTTTCCTCCCTGGAGGCCAGTCCCGTGTGAGGATTCCCTCGGGAGAGTGGGCAGAGCACCGAAGCAAACGGGGCTGTGATTTAACCCTTGTCAGTGACTGCCTGCTGTAGTAGTCAAGGCTGTGCTTTGTACTCTAGGGAGTCTGTGGCGAGGAGAATTCCGGCAGCGCTGTTTCATGGTACTGAGGGCATTGGCAGCCTCTGGCTGAGGTTGAATTTCCAGCAGCAGGAATACAGGTTACAGTCTCGCTCCCAAAAATGGTGTGGCTCCTGTTTCCAAGCTGCAGTGGAATGTTAAGGGTGGGCCTTGATGTTGTGCCTGGTGCCCAGGATATATTTTGCTTGCTCCTGTCATCAGGCTGGCCAGGCATCACTACCACGTGGTAGTTCTCCTGCTGAGTTAGAGCTCTGTGTTATCAGCTGTCCTTGTGAAAGAGCTTGACCCACTTAGAACAGGCACATGTGCCACAGGCCTGACACTTTTGTTCACTTCTATGAGAGGGGACCTAGGAAGACTGGTCCCTGCAATTTATTTGGCTTACTTTCTGCCCAAACTGTTGGGCCTTTTGGGAAAAGCACCTAAACCAGGCAGGCATCTTTGCACTGAGTGCAAACATGAAGGAGGGCTGAGAGCTTAATGTGTTTCCAGTCAAATCTGAGAGGTTGTTTTGATTAATTGAAGGGAATGCGGGGCCTGGTTTGAAGGGCTTTGATATTTTTATAGATAACAACCAGGAAAACGTTGGTATCTTCAGCTGTTACAGAAGTGCTTTAACAAGAACTACAGGCAAAAGAAGTCACTTCAAAAACCATGGAAAAAACTAACTAGCATTGTTAGGTCTGAACTTTAATTGCATTTCCCTTTTTAGTTTATCAATTATTTTAAATTACTAAGTTTTGGGTGGGAATTTCAGCAGTGTTTTATCACTTAATTTGTTGTTGAAGTTTTGTTTTGATTTTACTTCCATGACAGTGTCTGTGGATGTAGGAAAGATGCTCTTTTTCCTTAGTGACTTCAGAGTGTCACCTTAGTGACACTAATGAGTTACATTGGTGACATTAAATAAGTTACTTCAAGTTGTATAAAGCCACCTTACTGTATTTACAGTTGCACTAACACCAGGGTGCCTATCTTTGTTACATAGCAGTGAGAAAATTAAGTTGTACTAGTTTAGGTTCATATCTCCAGAAAATAAGTGTGCTGTACCACATCGGCATTGCCTGCTTATAAGGCATCATCTGCAATAATGAAAGTATAAGGAGATGGGAAGGGGAAGTGCAGATGCCACCTTGATTGCCATAGACATTTGCAGGTGGCATGTACCCAAAGATACAGGATTGGAAGAGCCTCTACTGGGATTACTTTTGAGTCTGGGAGGGAAGATGTGACCCTTGTGTATGTAAAATACATGCTAAACTAAACATAGGCAAGGAAATGGTCAGAAAACTTGAGCCTGCAACTTTCTCTGTAAAGCTTTCTAGCTCAGGGCAGGTACCAGGAGCCCAGTATGAGAAAGTGCAATTATAGGTCATTGATGGGGTTTCGTTATATTTTTTTGAACTTACTTTGAAGTGGCTGCCCTGGTTTTAAGTCAGTAAATTAGACCAATTCAGTTTTGTTAAACCTGGTTGGCTTATTTAAAAATACTGTGGGTTAGGGGAGGAGCCAGAAACATTAATACAAACAGAGTGTGTCTGCAGTTCCTGAATTTTTAAGCTGTGTTGCTAGACAGTATGGCAGCCAAAGAACTCGGGTCGGGATGTCTAATAGTCTCAAATCATTCAAGGTTACCTTCAAAGAGCTTTTCCAGTGCCTGTGAAGTTAATGGAAGTTTTTCCATTAACCTTTCTGGCCTGTGTTTCAGGCAGCATGACATTAAGTATTTATTCTCTGTAAACAGGGGAAATAATATATTTCTCATGAAACATTCACTTCTGGATAGCCAGTGTAGTGTTGAACAGTGCCTGAATTGCATGATTCTGTTTCAAGACTTTTATTTTAAAGTCCAAAGAGCAAAGATACTTCATATACTGAACCTTCAGTTGCTTCCCTAGCATACATATACTTTAGTCAAATTGGTATATTTGAGTCATTGGGGACTGAAGATGAGCTCTTTGTGTTAACTTTCATTTAATTTTCCTGGGTATTAGAAAACAGCGTGTTTATTTGCAAGCTTTAGTAGTATGTAGTTTTTTTCCAAAAGGTGTCAATCAGAATAGAAGATTTGAGGTTTAATTGATTTAACATTTAGCATTCTGTCATGCTAAATGGAGTGAACTGTTACTGAAATAGTGCTTTTAAGTTGTATGTCAGATGTCACTGGAGAATTGTCTGTTAGGCCTCAAGGTGCTCACTCTACACCAGCTTTAGGTGTCTTTGATGGTAGAGCCTTACTAAGCTGCTTTCTGAACAACATTTAAAATGTTGGATTTGTGTGTGTAAAAGGACGTATATGTTGATCTCTGGGATAGATGACTTCCTTCATCTCACACAGTTAGTTGAATTTTAAGTCAAGTAAAGATGCAGGTAAGATTTTTTTAAAAAAGAAAAGTCTACAAAAGAAAAGTCTACTTTGGTGTTTATTTTTTTTGCTTTCTAACTCTTGTAAGAATGTGCAGTTTTTATTCAGGTTAGTGCACAGTTTCATGAATCACAATTCTCTATTCAGTAGGTTTTTTTTAATTGCTGTTTAATGGGCTGGAATAACTTTATAGAGATTTAACTATGCAGGAATCTGCACATACTTGTTTATTTTTACATATGTATATAATGTATGTTTCACTTCAGGTTTTAAAAGAGGTGCAGATCCTGGAATGCCCGAGCCAACTATTTGGAGGTATGTAATGGTTCCAAATGTACATACAAATCCAGTACAGATACTGGTTTGGGTGTTACCTCTGGCCAGCAACAGTTGTGAATGATGCTTCCACCCCTTGTTTTTACTTGTTGTGGTTCTTGTTTCTTTGGAAATTCAAATGACAAGTCAGCAAAGTTCTAGTTCTTGGGAAGATCTTTCTCTTAATCTTGCATAGTTTTTAAGATACAGAACTTCCTGTGTCTTTTGCATGACAGCTTCACTTCTAATCTGTTATAGAGCCTAGTTTGTGGAAGTTTCTGCACTGATGAATAACTTCTCAGTTTTCTAGCACAAACTTAAACCAAAACTCAATCTCCTTCTTCCTTTTCAAATGAAGGAATAACACTGCATGAAAGGTGCATGAAATAATGGGCTATATCCTTCAGTATTAGTCACTGCCATGAAGCAAAGTGTGTTTGCCTCAGGTTGCTTCTTTTTTGTGGGACTCTTTGTTATGCTGCAATGTTATGGCATTAGTAATTCTTAAGTTTTAGTGGCATTTAAGTTTTATTGAAGGACTTCCTTGGTGTCTAACTAATTAAAGTTTTGGAGAAAGCATGGTTCTTCTGTTTATCAAGAAATGCCTTTTATTACTGTGCTGGACCAGGTATTCCTAAAAAAATAATCGATTGACTGTATTTTGTAAAGTCATGGTTTAACTCTTTGGCTTTACATAGTTACAGTGTATCGAAATCCCATTTTTAGAATTCAGTGATTCAGTAGAAACAGTAGAAAATATGGGAAAAAAAAAGTAGTAAGATCATATTACAATTTCAGTGGAATCTTCTGTTGTCTTAATGACCAAGTTGCTGCAGTTGTTTGCTTGCTGACAGTGTTTCTATGTTTAGCTTCACTGGTGATTTGAGACTTCTTTTTTGGTGTGCATCTGTATGGTGTAAAAGATGTGTTTTGTACTAAAATATAT